GTCCTAAGTGACAAGGATTTTAGTCTGTCCTAAGTGACAAGGATTTTAGTCTGTCCTAAGTGACAAGGATTTTAGTCTGTCCTAAGTGACAAGGATTTTTGTCTGTCCTAAGTGACAAGGATTTTTTAAAGTTTAGTTTTACTTTGAGATAGAAGTGGTCGCTTTTAAGGACAAGCGGGCTAACCCAGATTTCGGGAGCTTCCAGAAATCTTGACCTACACCAAAGCCAAAATTGGACATTGCCCTACCTATAGGAGAAGTTTGGTTTCATGGATGTGTATATTTGTTTGGTTATAGAGAAAACTCTCCCTGTCTTTTAAAGAAACTGAACAAGGGGCAAAAACTTTACCTTCGATTTTTTCAAAACAGCATTTTTCGGGATAGCCCACTTGTGCTTAAAAGCGACCAATTGTACGGCACTGGCAACCCAAATAGGTCTTATACTTGCCAAAGATAAGATGTCTTACTTGTGGTCTATTATCTGGCTGTTTATTGTGCAGTCTGGCGTGTTGGTCAACAACAGGGAGCTAGGCCTAGCCTATTGTATTGTTTGGCGAAGGTGTGTAGAGAAGAGAGAGTGAGTGAGTGAGAGAGAGAGTGAGAGAGAGAGAGAGAGAGTGAGTGAGTGAGAGAGAGAGTGAGTGAAAGAGAGAGTGAGTGAGCGAGTGAGAGAGAGAGAGTGAGTGAGTGAGAGAGAATGAGAGAGAGAGTGAGTAAGAGAGAGAGAGAGAGTGAGTGAGTGTGTGTGAGACGGAGTTCAGTGTGGATTACAGCAGGGTAGAGGGAAGAGCTGTATCGAGGCAGAGGAGGCCTGTCCTGTAGAGATTTCGCCGTGAGGAAAGTGGGTATGGCTGTTTAGAGCCTCGGTCTATTTCTGTGCATGTGTTGTAAGATTCCAACGCATCGGGGCCCCACCGCAGAGGAAAGGATCACACGATCTGGAGCTAGAGAGAGAGAGAGGTGTGGCTAACCCTTCTTGTAAACGAATCTCCGCGGGCAACCAAAAGGTTAGTGTTTAATATTCTTTCATGAACAAGTAACGACATAACTAGAGAGTAACATCATCATCATCATCATCATCATCATTTCAGGATTTTCATTTTGGTGTTCATAGAGATGTTTCTATTTTTCAGGATTGGGCTCATTTTATTGAAACGAGCCTTAGCCATTGTAGTTCTCCGTTTTATTTCTGTGGAACACTTGGCACCAGATGTTATCATATATCCTAGATATTTAAACTATTGGACTTGATGGATCTTTTCACCTTTGCTAATAAGATTACAACTGGGATTTTTTGGGATGTTATGGTTACCATGCATTCTATTTTCTTTACATTCAACACTAATCCTTTACGTTCACTCTCTGTTACAACAGTATCTAGCAGCAATTGAGGGTCCTTTTCTGAGCCTGATATTAAAACTGTGTCTTCTACGTACCTGATGTTATTAATATTTTCTCCTTTCCCTTTGAGCCCTGGACATTCTTCTATGTTTCTCAGGATTGTTTCCCTATACAATATTCACTTACAAAAAAAAAAGAAAAAAGAAGGTTGGAGAGATGATATGGGCCAGAGATGTTTGGTGGGAAAGAAGGAGCAAACCACACCTCAGAGCATCCGCCAACCACCCAGAAATATAAAATTATGATAATACCTCGCTGTGATTTATTCGCCATGATAAAGGCTTGTTTGTATCTGATCAAGTCAGAAGGGAAAACTAGAATAAACAGAAACATTAAATACGCCCATACACGTACAAACACACACACACACACACATACACACACACACACACACACATACACACACACAAATATATACAAACACACACACACACACACACATACACACACACAAACATATACAAACACACACACACATACACACACACAAACATATACAAACACACACACACACACACACACATACACACACAAACATATACAAACACACACACACAAACACACAC